GGGGCGGGGGCCTGCTGGCCCTGCTGGCCAATCAGTGCCGCTTCGTGACGGGCCTGCGCGTGCGGCGCGCGCAGCAGATCGGCCAGCTCTACAGCCGCCTCTACTCGGAGAGTTCGCGCCGCGTCCTTCTTGGCCGCCTGTGGCGTCGGCTGCGCGGCCGCCCGGGCCATGTCTCCACTCTGATGGCGGCGCTTGCCGGAGCCTTCGTGTGGGACGAGGAGCGGATCCAGGAGGAGGAGCTGAAGAGGTGGGTCTGGAGCCTCCTTGCTCCTCGCGGCGGGCGGGCCGGGGGCCGTGGCAACTGGGGCCTGCACGGAGGCGCAGCGATGCAGTCAGCGGTGTTTTTAAATTGGTCATTATGGACTGGCCGCTTAGAAATGAGAAGTGAAAAAGTAGATTGGTAAGTTTTTAATAGGGAGAAGGACACAGAAAAAACCCTGTAAAAATACAGTAAAAGCATGTATACAGTGAATGTATAATTTTAGACACTGCAAAACAGGTTGCCATCCTGACCCAAGAGTGAAGTTTGCAGTTTTCCGAATGACAGCCGTAAGGCTGAGGACGCACTGCAGAGTCTCTTCCCAGGCACAGCCAGCCTCGTCAGCATCCGAGGCTGTAAATTGCACTTGGGGGATTACCGGTCCTTCTCCCTCGGAGCTGCTGGTGGATCCTACCTCGGAGGACTCGGGCCTCCTGGGCAGTGGCTCGCTCCCTGCGGATTCCGTCCTCAGAGAGCCAAATGGGGTTAACCCAAATCTGACTTTATAATGGCTACCTTCTAGGCCCTGACTTTATGCAGCTATCAGAGTTTCTATGAGAAGGATTGAATGTGTTAATCTAGTCTGTATCAGAGATTTATTACCGTTGAGGGGGAACGTGCTTTGGCCGGTCTTTTACATTTGTAAATTCTTGTGCATTCTTAGACCCTGCTTACTCTCCTCTACTCTGAAACTTGTAAGGTTGCTTGCAGGAACCTGAAGCAGATCTCTCCTTGATAAATCCTGTTTATTTTAAAAATTTCCTAAATAGAGAACTAGGCATTTAACGTTTTTGGCTAGGTTAAAAGAAATTCCTCAATAATGAAGTTTGCAGTGTGATCTCTTTTTGGGTGCTACAGAGAATTATGGGTAAATTTAAGTCTGTTTAAAAACTGGAAATATTTTTTCCAGAAAGAAGGAAAGACGACTATCTTATAATTACAATTTAAGATCATAACTGCGAACGTTATTCATACAGAAGCTGTGGCAGCAATGTGATAGGTGGTTTTACATTATTATTCTTTTATTACTTGTCCATTTGTTCAAATCAGACTCTTAGTTGTAAAGAAATAATATGAGAATGAAAGTTTTAAGTGACAGTGTTAATTAAATTTTCAATATTCTGGTTTTTATTTAATATACTCAGTGGTGAAGTTTGAAGTTAAAATCACCAACTGGATCTGTTTGTAGAAGAGTCTAAAGGTGTCCCAAATTCTTTGGATCAGGAATTGAATAATTTTGAGACTTGGGTGGTAGCAGACCCTCTGATGTGCTTCCTGTGTTTTATGATGTCTGGATCCCTAAGCAGCAGTTCTATAGCAGAAACTGGAGATGAAAAACCAGCTAGGAAATCAGTGTGGTAAACATTTGGCATCTGAAGTCATTCCTTGCTTGGGAGGTGAAATGATGAGACTAGTTGATGACCAGGCCAGGTATCTATTCTACACTCATTAACAGCCGTTTGTGAAACCCAAGTTCAGTTGAAAAATACTATTGGTTCTGATCCAACTCCTCCAGAGGCATTGCTCCAGCTTCTGGCTTTGGAGTTTCAGAAACTTGGAGGGAGGCCAGCTGAAACTCTGTAAAGGTGCCTTTAACCCTCCTCTGTCTTGCTCTGCTGAAGGCCCACATTTAACACTTTAGTGCCCAGTTCATGCTTGAGTTCTGTTTTTCTTATGCTTAAGATTTAATGAAGTATACTTCATTAAGGGGAGATAGCATGATCACCAAGGTGGTTTTCCTGGGGTGAGGTTTATCCTTTGTACTCTGGATGTGCTGACTCCTGCGATTTCCCCAAGTATGGGACTCGACTACATAATTTGTGATTTGTGGTAGTGGAGGACTTGCATTCGCACTATCCCCTGAAAGAAAAAGAAGGGGGGAAAAAGTAACACCAACCAAAAAAAGAAGTTGGTGGTTTTACCTAACCATGTGTTAAGCCAAATAGTGCTATTCCCCTCCAGCCTGGTTGTCTGACTTCTTTTGAGAAGTTGTCATGTTTATGTTTTATTTAATAAAATATCCTGGGTATTTTCTTGCTGGATGTTTAAAAGTTATTGCCTTAGAAGAGTTTTACTGCAGTTGTCTTTCATACCTATATCATATGTCTATGATGTACTGGATTTCCTTTGTTTGTATTAGTTGGGTTTGGGTAGCTTCTATAATGGAGAGGGAGCTCTGATGACCTAGAGGGTAAAGAATAGCATTGCCAACCCAATCCTCCTCTCTTGAGATTTACACCTCTGGAAACCTGATGGAGGGTCTGCTGTGGGTCAGTTCAGACTTGGGAGTACATAGCAACCATCATGGGGGACACCCAAGCGTTTTCCAGTAAGTGCATCTCTTTCATTGTTAGTGGATGAAAAGCAAAAGCTTGATTGTCACAGGGCCATTCTGTGCTCTTTCTATTCCAGCTTGTCCTGGGACAAACCAACTGATAAACAGTGGTTCATGTGCATGCTATCTCTTTTAATGTCTGTGCTTAAACTGTTGTTTCTGTATTGGTACTTTTATTCAGAACGAAAAAGAATCTGTTTAAAGAATGTCTTGCTAAATAGGATTTAATCTTTTAACAAGAAAGAAATTTGAAAAAGGAAGCAACTTGTAGAAAGTGATTTTAATTCACTGTTGGGTTTAGAGGTAGAAGTACAGACTCACTTGAACTTAATCGAATAAGCAAACAAAGTAACTTTTATCACTATTTTTGGTGCAAGCTGATATTCTGTGAGCTTAGGGAAATTTTTATGGGAAAATAAAGTAGCGATTTTTTATTGCTTGGGAAAGTTAAATTACAGTATTAAAAAGAGGAAGGAAGTTAAGAAATATGAAGGGCTGAGGAAATGTTCACTAACTCTCCTTTATTAAGATATAGTTCTTTGCACTCAAAATTTGAGTAAATAAGTCCCAGTAAAGTTTCATAAATAAAATTGGCCATTAGCCCTATTTCTGTCAGTCTTCCATAGTTTAGTATATTGGTGATCAGCATAAATGTTTTGAATTTAGAGATTTATTACCTTCCCCCCCCTTTTTTTTGTCTCATCGTGGGGTATTAATACCCTTTTTAGATCAGCTGAACTGTGGAAAAGTGGAACTAATCTTGCTGAAATTACTCTCATTTTCTAATAATTAGTTAATTATTTGATGAGGTCTTTGATGACTTTTATTTCTAGGTTTATCCCATATTATGAGTGTTGAATTTCTTTTACTGTAGTTTGGGATTTGAGGAGAGGATTGTATGAAATGAGGCAGGTTCTTGAAATTTCTGATTAACTTAATTTCTGATTAGTTCAAGTTTCTTGGAATATTCAGTTACTCATTAGATAGCTTCACTTGAATAATTTGGAGTTTTATATCAAGTTCTAGATTGGTGAGCTGACAGTGGTTTTTTTCAGTCTGTTGTCATGGTTATGTTATGTGCATAGCCTTTATCACATATTGAAATGATTTTACTTATAGGAAAGGGAAACTTTCACTTTGATCCGCTTACTGATTGACTGGTTCTGTTACTATTTTGGGGATAATCCCTTTTGTCCTTCTACTTAAGCCTCTTAGAAACCTAGGCTTAGACATCCTTTCTGTCCAAACAAAATTTGGCACGAAAGGGTATAGAGATGCACATAACTGGAGATTTTTTCCTTTCTCTGTGCATGTGATGAGTGATCTGACTATGTGTTAATTGTCTGTCAACATTTAGAGGTTGGGAGACCTTCATAGATTGGTAAACTTGAGGAGTAAGAGCTTTATTGATAGTATACATTTGAATGAAGCATTCTTAATTAACTGTGTTTACCATAGGATACCTGATTTTTTTTTCTTTGAGCAAACCTACCTGTGATTTTACTTTTGTTTTCTCCTTTGCAAGATCTTGTTGCCTCTGTGAGGACCCTTACTATTTCTTTATAAATGCGTTGTAGATACTATGTTTTTCAAAGAATGTCTTTATAATACCATTCTCTTTAATTTTATTTTACTAGTTTTAATGACCATTTACAGAGATTTTGGATTTTCATTCATTCACTGTAATACCATTCTCTTTTCAGTGACTTTGTCTCAAAATTTTTATCTGGGCTGCCTGCTCTGGTGATGGAGTTTGCAGGGAGTGGCTGCTGACCAATCTGTTTCTTTGTTTGCAATCAAGAACCCTGACCATTGATTGTGAAGTTCACATGAAAAAATGAAAAGATGAACAATATTTTAAAAGTTAGAGCAGAATTGACTGAAATGGGTAAAGAAGTAGTAAAGTACGATTGCAGCAGACAGCAGTATTTTGCTGCTAATCTGAAGGCACACTTCTTGGTGGTTTGAATCCCTGAAGAAAGCATGCCTCTGAGAAAGCATGCCTCTGATAGCCCTGGCAAGCCAGCTGGACGGTCTGCTGGGGTGTGTTGGTTATGACCTGCTCGTTGCTGGTGCTCTTGAGTTGCTTCAGGTCATAGTGGGCCTGCAAACACAGTCTTGCTGCTATGTTCCAAGGCTGTATATATTTAGAGAGGCAGACTGTCACGGTCACATCTCTCAGAGATTGGCTAATGAAACTGGACCACTGACCTTTTGGTTAGCAGCTAAGCATTTTAAACCCCACTCCGTTGTTGTTGTTGTTGTTATGTGCCGTTGAGTCGCCTGTGACTCATAGCGACCCTATGTACAACAGCCCTAAACTCCGCTCTGTCCTGTGCCAATCGCACTGTCTCCGACACTCCCATC